ATGAGGCAATTGTTGTGAGGTTATTGTAAAAAATTTAGAAAGGGATGCCAGTATATAGTATATACTAGTATTTGCTTATATGTATGTATGCAAATAGTGGAAGGTTTTCATATGTACGTAAGCAAATACAACCAAATTATTTTAGAAAATATCTGTGTAAAGATGTAGAAATGTACATATTCATTAACGATTATGACGAAAACATTTAACTTTATTTTTCATGCAGGCGTTTGCATACATATATTTACATACATACTTATTGTACATTTACGTTAGTTTGTATGCAATCACAGGCTCATCTTAAGGCAATCTAAACGCAAATAGTGCTGGCATCAGGCAAACTAGGCTCTTGTTTTGTTGACAACCCAACATAGCTAGCCGGTTTTTCAATTAAATCTTTTTTATTAATTAATTCAAGTTGCTAGACATGTTGTTTTTTTTTTTGGCACTTGTAATTGTCTGTTACCTGGCAATGCAATAACTTTTCTAAAGCTCCATTCACAGCATTTAAGTTGGTTTTTTGTCCTTAGAAACAGTAAGCTTTGGCGTTCATGGATTTAAGAGATTAAGTAATTGAAATTAAATATGCGTATATCGTTAACCTTAACTCACAAAGGGCTTTTTAAAATTGGCATAACTACGTGGTTTTTGGTACTAACACTTTAAAATTTGTAGTGAAGGTGTACTTTAATATATCCTACCAAAATCTGAGAAAAACGCAGATTCGAAAAAAGTGCTGGTTAGGGCCTTTTTGAATTAAGGTGACGATATGTATGTGTACTCACTATATGTGCATATTTACTTGGTTTAAATTGTCTTTAGTGCTATATAAGGCTATACATACATATACGAAGTACTAGGCTGGGGTCCCGAAAAGAGTTTGTAATTGTTCCCCCAGTATGAAAGCTTACTTTGGGAGGATTTGGGGTCAAAGAAATGTAGGTATGCTGTAGACAGGCTAATCTGTTTTAAACAGAGGTTTATTGCAAATATATATATTTAATTAAAATTTGTATCTAAAAAAACATATTTTCGATCTGCATAACGCATACCTCCTCATTTTATTGGTTTTGTCTTAAAAACTATACGAATAAAATTGTATGCAAATCGGACCACGGCAACCCGTGCCTACTTGCAGTCAAAGTAATCAGAATAAGCTTTGTGCAGTTCGCGTGTTTTGTTAATTTACTCAATTTACTTCTGTAGAATAGGGTATCACTACACCCCCTACAGTATTAGGACATAATATTTAGTAAATCTGCGTTTTTGGTTTTTTACCAGGTAGTCATGACCATAAATTATAATATATTTCCAAAAGTTTACTCAAAATATGGATATGGGTATCGATTAAAATAATAATTCGAAATAAGATTAATTGTGACTTTTGTTTTCAATTATCCTTTTGGAACATGTCAAAAATGTCCTTTAAAAATATTATCCTTCCCAAAATGTTTCCTCCATAATTTAAGTACGTTCTGGTCATCAGTCACTAGGTCACCATTGTTATAATTACAAGAATTTACCCTGGCCTTGAAACCTTCCGTAAGTCGCCTAACTCTCTGTTAAAATTTTCGGGTGTTTTTCCTGCCGGCCAGCATTTCAAGCTCTTCGCACGAAGATCCGTGTCACTTCCCTCTTCAGTCCCCTATATCGGTCCCACATAGCTCGCGTTGCGCCTGATCACAGCGTGGCCATGTACATAGGTGGCATATTTTTTTTCTGCAGCTTCTTGACCACTCTTCATCGTACCAATTATTCCTACGGCCTCGCTGAAATGCGACTACTTCTGCAATGGCGGTACTTATTGAACGGAAAATGTGGTTCCACTGCTCGGTTTGCTAAAGCTAATGAGCTTTTCGACGTTAAGCTTTCTTTGCATTTTGGGCGCACTTTTTTGCTGCACAGAGGGGGGTGCGTACCTTGGCTGCAAGTGTGCCTCCCGTCTATCACAACATGCAGCCACGTAGCTTGATGGATCTTTTTATGCTTGAACCTAGTATTTCCTACTAGGACATGGCGTTCGTATGTGCGCTCTAAGCGCTCATGGAAGCTACCCTTGGACACTTCGTCGTGGGCGTAAATCATTGAGATGTTGAAGAATCTTGATTTGGTTACATGGATTGCTCTCGTTGACCAGAGTGCGCGAACGAGACCGCAAGAGTCGGGATTGAGTATTACCGTGCAACTGTAACTGCATAGCCACAACGACTACACCCCATTGCACTCCAGCATTGGCATGAAAAGTAGGCCGGCATTACACTTACTGGCATGCCGGTTTATATTACGCTAGCACCTGGATTGGCTTGCTGCTGGCATAATGTAAACGGGGCATATACAATTAAAAAATCGGCTAAAAGTTCTATTAAGGTATTGGCCTACAGTTTCTTCTGTAAGTAGTAGTAGTATTTAATTGGGTAATCATTTCCTGGTAGGCTTAAATATTTTTTGCATGCTTCACTAACCGTATTTACGTTTTGTATATTCATTCAGCGACGTCACAACGATAGTCTGTACTTAATTTGTGTGCATTTAAGTATCCAAACATTTGTTACAGGATTTATAGCTGGCACATCACAAAAAGGGACACGGAATAAAGTCGATGACTTTAAGAGCATTTTAAACACACAAAAAAGAGTATTACGTGAAATTTTACAAAGAAAATTGCACACATATACACGAATAGATACATATTTTGTGCACATATATATGTATGTATGTATATATTTTCATATGTGCACGTAAGTGCTAATTTTTGATAATGATGTAACAAAGTGGTGCTGAAGAGATGCTAGGTAGAAAGCACAGAAAGTGATATCTTATATATTCACGTTCTTGTATATACAACCATACATACATGCGCAAAATATATACATATGCGCATGCATACACACCCGCTCCATGTAGCTGATGGTCTGAAGTCAATTAGGATTCAAGTGCAGTCAATAGAAAATTTGCGAAAAATGAGGTTTGCTTCATAAATGAAATAAGAAAGAGTAAATTAGGGTGTTCATAAAGGAAGGTTTTGAAACATTAAAAAAATTGATTTTAAAATATTATTAGGCCTTAGAACGCAATTATGTGGCTCAACTACTATGTTGTAGTGCTGTCCAAGTGAAGCAACTAGCGATTATTACGAAACACATTTAGGGTTAAAATCTGTGCTGTTTGCCAACATTTTTTCGTTGGTGGAGATTTTTTTGTGGAATTATATTCTTCTGGTTCAAAACCAAGGTGGTAGCACTGAAGCAGTTGTTCTGATTTTATTCAAGTAATTTAGTTTTTTACATACAAATTTTTAATTGCCAAATATATTTTGCCATGCAAAGGATGTATTGATGAATCTGGAACGAAACAAATTCACAAAGAAAGAAAGTGGCAACAATTTTTAAATTTTTTTGTTATTATTATTTTTATTTACATTTTTTATTTATTTTGGTTTATATCTCACACTATGATTTTATTTATCTACTAAATGACGTTTTCTTATGTAGGTTTTAAAATTTTTCCTTCACTTTAAACACATTTTTTCAGAACAAAATATGTATGTGTTTAAAGGACACATAAATTTGAACACCTGCTTGAGAAAACGTCCCAAGTTTTTAAACAATTAAAAATATTAATTTTTTTTGGGTATACAAATGTTTAACCGACTGCTAGAAAGGAGGAGGTTATCAATTTATCGGAATATTTTTTTCTTGTGCTTATATGTAGGTATATATGTATGAATGTACTGTCAATAAATAAATAACGCAAACCAAATTTCACAAAAATCTTTACGCAATTTTTAAAAACATTAGAAGTTTGCCCCGAATTCTGTAACGATTTTTTTCGAAAATACGATTTTAATTAAAGAAAGTTCTAAAAAAAATCTTCATGTCACATAATGGTCGCAGAGGCCATGTTTCCCGCGAAAAAGGTAGATTTGGAAATTGGATAAATTAGTCGGAATAAATCCATTCATAATCGTAAATGTCCAACGAACTCAAAACGAATTAGTATTTTCACTAATATTCAACCGATTTAATTGTGATGCGTTTTAGCTGTTATGTGTTGCGAATTTTCTTAACATTTTAAAACGTTAGAAATTAGTATAACTTATTATATATTTAGCATAATAAGCAATTTAGAAATTAAGAACTTTGTGAATTTTCGTGAAAATTGGTATTTCGAGCTTGTTAGGTTCGCTCTTTACAAATTTTAAATTAGTTTTTTAAGATTCAAAATGAAAAATATGACATCAGTATGACAATTTTCTCATTTTTGTTCCAAATTTATGGCAGTGAAAATATCCGAAATCTAGTGCACATAATATGGCGCAAAAATGCGATAAATGGATTACAACTTTTTAATGAATACTTTCAAGTTGGCTGGATGCTTTGAAAAACAGTGGAATTACATAATAATTTGAGCGATATTGTGCGATGAAGGAGGATGCTTGTCTTTTATATATTAAGATATAGAAGATATTTTGTAGTAAAATCTTTTTTTTTTATAAAAATTTACATTAAATTTGCAGCACTTTTATTCTTCTCTGATTGATTTTAAGATTTTATAGTTAATAGTTTTTCGTATGGTCCAACATTTATAAATGGTATCCTACAAATTTGAATACATTCTTTTCATTTTAATACAAATTAGGGCCACCTTAATACACGCGTAATGCATACGTACATATATACATATTTATATGCTTTTACTATACATATGTATGTACATATGAAGATACATATGTGCATATTAGTATAAAAAAAATTATAATTTACTCAACTCCCGACGTATGAAAGACAAGTGCCGTGATTCTTATAAAACATAAAAAAAACACACACTACACAACGACAAAACGCTGGAAGCTGTGTACGCAAAAAATAGTGATAAAAATCTATACTAAGTGACTAACAGCCATCCAAACGTCCGTCACTTTGTCTAATGGAGGTTTCATAGATTTTGATGTTATCCAAGCTGATAGTGATGGATTATTGGCGATGCTGATGATGTGGCGGTTGATAGCCAATATAAAGTACGAGTAATATTTATGTTGATGTACTCCATGAATATTGTGAATAAAATTATTTGTCTTTGAACTGGTCAAAAGAATATAAAAGGGAAAAAATAAAAGTAAAAAAAAATAAATATTAATATCCGGTATAATCATGTCGCTAATGTCGCCGTTAATGATATTGACGACAGCAGAGTCTAGCTCTGGTGCCGTAGCTCTGCGTAGATGCGCGATATTAACGGTACCAACGAAAAGCAGCGTGATTAATCGTTAAACGACGCGGAAGCGCTTTGTCTGGTAATTGTTGTCACGTGACAGAATAACATTTAAAACGGCTAGCAGTGGGGCGGGCGTCTGCTTGCAGCTACAACGCCAAAAAAAAAAAAACAACTTCAAGTGAAAGCGCACTTAATTACATTGAAGAGGACTCACGTAAACGTCACTTTGCCAAAAAAAAGAAAATGCCAACGTCTGAAGGAAAAACAAAGATGAAAGTTTAATACAAAATACACATACTAAACGTAAAAGCGTGCGTAAAAAGGATTTTCATTTAGCATCAAATATACACAGATAGATGACACAAGTTGCTGCCCGCAACAACGCTACGCCGAAATAAATTCTACTTTCTGCACGCTTAAAGTATGGTTTATGGACGCAGCATCGCTATCGGTGGCTGCCTGCTGCTTTCGGTCATTACACTCTCGGCAATAATATTCTATTTGAGTTTGGGTGAGTACTTAACACTGTTACTTTTAATTTATGAGTTGAAAATTTAGTGTTGAAAATAATTTGAAACACCATTATGACGATAAATATCAAGTGAGATTTATTTTAATGGTACAATAAAAGGTGATATATGTATTTTGTTAACTAGACCTCAAATTTTCTTATTGATTTAATTTATATTAAATGTTTTTTTTTCTTTTATTGAAACTGATGAATAGGATATGCTGTAAAATGATTCCTCCAAATTAGATTGCAGGCTCTGACTAAAGCAATTACATAAATCAACGCTACAATTAAACTCGCTGGGTACAATATATCTCTTCGGATAGATATGGCACTGCGCCGCCGGAGCATACAAATATGCAACTTGATTCATTTACTAAGCAGCTCTCATGTTACTCATACGTCATGGTGTACCTAGTTATTTTGCTATGGGGAAAATCTCTAGTTATGAACAGGTGCGCTTCTAGTAAATTTAGACCCAGTAATGGTTTGCGATAAATCTCTTTTGCATGTAAACAACTGGCGAATTTAACATGGCGATGTTCTAGGAAGTGTCGTTTGCCCCCCACAGCATCCTTTTTCGGTAGTTCCGAACTAGTCCAGTTCTAAAATCGACAGACGAAATAAAAAAAATATGATGATTTTTCAATCTTTTCGGTTCTTCCGTTATTTTCAAAGAAATGTGTTTTCAATTTGAAATTAAATTTGTTTGAATGATTGTAAGAAATGTACGTTTACATTAGTTTGGCTGTAGCTGAGTTTGCAGAGGTGCTTGCTGTTATTGGTTAGATTCTAGATAATCTCAAAATGTTAAAATGTTAACAAAATTTTTTCTTTTGTAATATGAAGCTATGAAAAAGCATCTGGGAAGTGCAGAATGGACTATGTAAAGTAAACAAGCGCCTCGCTGCATCTTTTTTCGATGGTCCCGAACTATGTAGTTATAAATTCGACAGATAAGATCTGGTTCGTTTTGCAGCTCATTTTCGATAGTTCTGAACCAGTTCTAAATTCGTCACCTTAGATATAGATTTCTAATAGAAAAATTTTAAATAAAATAGTTTTTTTTTTTAAAGTACCACATTTCGCAGATTTCGGACTGCTGGGGATCTAGTTACTATCGGATTGGTTCGTTTTTGGCGAAAAGATCTAGTACGAAACTAGAAATTTGATTCACTAGTTCGCGGTTTACCTGCAGGGTTGTTAACTAAGCAGTCGGTTTCTTAAATTTGGTGGTAAATTTTTATGATTTATGTAAGATTTTTTACCTCCATTACTAGCTTCTATATATATATTACTTAATAATTACCCCGTTGCTATAAAAGAACTTTCAAGACCATAGATAGGTTGATATTTGTTGAGGTATTTTTGTGACCAGGATTTTGTCGAAAGGGTTCGCATAAGCTAATGAATTGGACTCAAATTATTTAACAAGTGAAGTAATTAACAAAAAAAAACAATATTAAAACCTAACAAATTGTTGCGGAACAAGTATATCTATATATACATATATCAAGCGAACATATTTTTTGTACAGGACATTAACTTTGCACCATTCGCCCGATTTTCAAATTAAAGCGCTTGGCCTGTAGAAGTGCTAACTCGCTATATGGAAAAGAGTTTTATTGAAAAGAGTTGCCACTTTTGAACAATTAAATTCCAATTATTTAATAATCAATGCCATTATAAAAAGGCTTGGACTGCAGATGTGCACAAAGCTTTTACTTTGTTGAAAAGAGTTGCCATCTTTAAAAAATTTGTATTCGTATTAATTAGAATAATAAATAAGTTGTTACTACATGTGTATCAAACGAAATGGTTTTGAAAAGCTTTGTTTCTTCACATAACTAAAAGAGAGTTGCCACCTGTTTGAATTAAGAGAATTGAGTGAGAGAAATCTGAATCAAGATATGGATGCCAAACAAAAGGGATTTCAGAAGGTAGTATGTATGTAGTTTGAAAATATTTTGAAGAGGGTTACCATCTGCTTAAAATTTCGAATTTAGTAGTTAACTTATACATAACTGATATGAAATATCACAATATGGATGTCAAACGAAAGAGTGTTACGAAGTCCTTAGTTTGAACACTAAGAATATTTTTGAGATGTTGCTACCCTTTTAATAAGTTAAATTCAACTTATTTAAAAAGTTAATCGAATCGTTAAAATATGGGTATCAATCGAAGCGGGTTTGAAAACTCTTTATATCCGAACTATATTGAGCGTGGTTGCCACATGTTAAAAAAAAAGCAAATTAAACTTAATTAATCAGTTAATTAAAATATGTATCGCATTATCAAGCGAAGGGGAGTTAACAAGGTTTTAGCTAGAAAATACTTTTGAGAAGGGTTGCCACCTGTTTTTATATCAGAAAAAAATCTTTGTCTTGTAGTTTTTAAATTATAGGCGTTCAAAAAAAAAAACAACAAAAAAATCTACACCCTGTTATGGTTTTTTAATTGTCGTTACTACAAATTTCTACTTTTTCACAATTTTATTTCTATTAAATGATACTTTTTCTCAAAAATTTAGAAATTTAATGCTTCGCCCAATCAGATTTTTAATTTACTTAAAACAACTTAACTTTACTAATTTCTAGTTTGAGTGAGACGGAGAGAGTCCTTTTACGAAGTGTGAGCAAGACAGAGAGTAACGCCACTTTTAATAATGTGTGAGACGGATGGATAACATGCGACTAGTGCCTCATTTCTTATAATGTCACACTCTTGTAAGGCAAAAATGGCCCCTTCTCTGCCCTTTGCAGCTTTATCAAGGGAGATGGTTGCCCTATGCGTGAGCTAGACAAGGATAAGAAGTTGAGTGTAAATAACATCGAACACATTTTGTATGGTGGAAGGGCAACATTTTTTGGAAGAAACGAAATCACTATTAGAATTGGTTTGAGCATACAGTTTTATAGCCCATTCAATTTTGGTGTAATAATGTGCAAGTTGTAACTGGCTAAAAACACTGGATCACAAATTTGAATTTGGTTTTTGTTCTCCAGACGCCACTATCCAATTTCTATGTAGAATTGCTCGGTGATTCCGAAATTCGGGTTAATTTTTTTTGTATGGATACGTTTTCGAGATATTTATTTGCAATTTACCGTTATTCAGCTTAAAGCAAAAATTGGTTCCTTTTAATCACTTATACCTTAGGAACCAATTTAAAAATCTTCATATAAATGCGGCCAATGAAATTCTCCATAAACCGCATATACATCACTTTCCGATAGGGCTAACAGTTTCTGACAAATTAATTAACATCCAGCTTTTTTTTATTTTTTAGTCAAAAAATTAAAAAAAAATAAAATTTTAACAGAAGAAAAATTTAAAAAATAACCGGTTGTGGCAATTTTTTGCATTTGTACTATAGCTGTTCTGTTACAAAAAAAAAATCAAGTTACTGAAGAAGAAAATCTATGGAAAAATACGAAATAATGAGTGGTCAAATCAAAATGCGCAAAGATTTTTTGTATGAAAAATGAGCAGGAAACAAAGTTCTTCATACGCCACGTACACCCGAGTAACACGCTTCACTGCTCATATTTCATACAAAAAATCTTTGCGGATTTTTTATTTGACCACTCTTTATTTCTTATTCATCCATCGATTTTCTTCAATAATTAATTTGATTTTTTAAAATTTCTTTGCTAAAGGTGTTGCGGTTTTCTTCCATATAAAAATAAATTTTGTTATCAATTTAGTCCAAAACGTTTAAAATTGATAAAAAATTTTAATTTTACTGCAGAAATAGAAGCAACTTTGTATGGAGCATGAGGCAGTCTATTAAATATAATAGTAGACAATTTTGTACATACATTAAAATTTATTTATGCTTCTCACCTACAGCCGCTATGTAGTATATATCAAGCCCTAACCGCCAAAATAACGTAAGCGACATTTTTTTTTCAAAATTTTCTTTTTGATGCAGAAATATTCCAGCATCAAGATGCATTTCTGCATCAAAAATAAAATTTTGAAAAATATGTCGCTTACGTTATTTTGGCGGTTAGGGCTCGATATACACATTGGCCTTTAAGTTCTTCCATTTTCAATTACTCTAACTTATGGCAAAAGCGTAATAACTCAACCAATAAACATAAATAAGCAATAAAAGTCACCAATGACTGCTTAAAAATAAAATTTATATCACTAGTATTTTCCACTGCTTATACATTCAAACCGTTAATGTTTGTTTCTTCCTCCCATTTATACCATCCATTTCAGTAAGCTTAGTACATTTTTATCAATTCTTGAAAGCATCGAAAGCGCATAAATATGCTTTTAAATTATTGTATGTATTTATATAAATTTCAAATGCTAAATAGACAATTTTTATTACACTATTCGCGCATAATTTTTGCCGATATCATTACTGCTGCCTGCTTATTATCAATTTTATCACCTAAATTAGTGCGTGGAAAAAGAAAATTGAATTTCGTTTGCCCAAATGCCTAACTGACAATTCGTTTCGTAGCTATTGCATATCAATTGTAACCATTAACCATTAACCATTGACCACTATGACCATTGTCAACTGTCTACTTAGCCGTTTTGCTATTTATATTGCTTCTGTAGTAGTTGTATTGAGAGTGCGCCGCATTGGCCTTTGACACCCAACACTGACCAAGCTGAACTTGTCTTATTTGTCAATTGCTTTTATTTTCGCCCATGCTTTTTTATACACTTTTCTCATTCTCTATTTTTGTGACGATTTTATTTATTTTATTTTTTTGTTTGAGTCATCTTCCAGTTCGCCCATAGAGCGTACGGCGTGAAAAAGTTGCCGTGTGCGTGTATATCTGTGTGTGTATGTATGTCTTTTGCTCCCCTGAGCCGTGCGTTCAAATTAACCTATTTATGGCAATATGCTATTCGCATTCAGGCACACGTTTGCGTTAATGCCCGTTTTCGATTTGTTCACGACCCCATGTCACTCATACTTTATACAGTTTTCTTGACTTTCTTCATTCCGTTTGTGGCAAATTAAGTAT